CAGAATCTTTTAATATGCTAATTGGCCATCTGTATTGCTTCTTTTCTTTTTTGAGACAGAGTCTCACTTTGTTGCCTAGGCTAGAGTGAGTGCCATGGCGTCAGCTAGCTTACAGCAACCTCAAACTCCGGGCTCAAGCAATCCTGCTGCCTCAGCCTCCCAAGTAGCTGGGACTACAGGCATGCACCACCATGCCCGGCTGATTTTTTCTATATATATTAGTTGGCCAATTAATTTCTTTCTATTTTATAGTAGAGACGGGGGTCTCACTCTTGCTCAGGCTGGTTTCGAACCCTTGACCTCGAGCAATCCGCCCGCCTCGGCCTCCCAGTGTATTGCTTCTTTTGTGACTTGTTCTTTGCCTATTTTTCTATTAAAGTGTTTTTCTTACATATTAGAACTTTTTTTTTTTTTTAATTGAGACAGAGTCTCACTCTGTCACCTGGGCTAGAGTGCCATGGCATCAGCCTAGCTCACAGCAACCTCAAACTCCTGGGCTCAAGCGATCTTCCTGCCTCAGCCTCCCAAATAGCTGGGACTACAGGCATGCACCACCATGCCCGGCTATTTTTTTCTATATTTTTAGTTGTACAGCTAATTTCTTTCTATTTTTGGTAGAGATGAAGTTTTGCTTTTGCTCAGGCTGGTCTCGAACTCCTGAGCTCAAACGATCCATCCAGAATGCTAGATTACAGGCGTGAGCCACCACGCCCAGCCAGAAGTTTTACATTTTTATATACTAAAGTCACCAATCTCTTCTCACTTTGAGGTCATGATTTAGAAAAACTTTCTCCACCCCAAGATTAAAAAACAGTAACCTAGATTTTCTTAACCTTTATATTTTATTTTTACATTTAAATTTGGATTAATCAGGACATTTATTTTTTGGTACAAAGACTCAGCTTTTTTATGCCTGTAATCCCAGTGCTTTTGGAGGTCGAGGCAAGAGGATCATTTGAGGCCAGTAGTTCGAGACCAGCCTGGGCAAGAAAGTGAGACCCCCCCATCTCTACCCCCCCAAAAAAATGTAGCCAGGTATGGTGGTGCCTACCTGTAGTCCTAGGTATTCGGGAGGATGAGGCAGGAAAATTGCTTGAGCCCACAAGTTTGAGGCTGCTGTCAGCTAGGCTGACCATGGCACTCTAACCCAGGTGACAGAGCAAGACTCCATCTCCAAAGAAAACAATTACTGTGGAGAAAAAATTAAAGAAGCAAGAGTACCAAACAAATCTTTAAAAAAATGTAAGTCAGTTAGTTTAATCCCTCTCTCTGCCCCTTCCACACTTAGAACCTTCCACTGGATTTCTACCTTGTACTGTGGTCTATAATCCCTGCTCGGTCTCCAGCTTCACTTCACCTCCAGTCAGTCTCCCCCCCAGTGCTCTACCACACTGGCTTTTGCGGTTCCAGTTGGTGTTTCCCATGGATCCTTTGCAACTTGCTATTCCCTTGCTGGATGCTCATCCCCCAGAGATGCAAGACTGGGCTTCTTCTTATCATTCTAATCAAAGCTTAAAGACCACCTTTTCAGGGACAGCTTTCCCTTGAATACCTCCTACCCAAGATAAGATGGCCCACCCATCATTGTCATTTTAACCGTTTCTTTCTCATACCATTTACCATGTGATCTACCATGTTTCCCTGAAAATAGACTACCCATAAAATAGCCCTGCAAGATTTCTAAGCATTTGCACAATATAAGCCTCACCCAAAATAAGACCTAGTGATGCGCGTGGTACGCAATGTATCTGCACAACCCATGCATTTCGTCGCAGAGCAGATAAAGAGACGAGCAGCCCTTCTCATCTGCCCCATGAGAGTTCTATTGCTCGACATGAGGAGATTGGGGCCAATGGTTCTAAGGAAATAGAGTCACAAGAAATTCAGGATGGAATTTGGGCTTTGGAGATTATCATGATGTTCCAGAAGAAGACAACTTAACTATATTTGAATAATGTAGATTGTTGTACCATACCAAAAAAGATAACACATACCCTGAAAATAGCCCTAGGGTGTCTTCTTGAGGAAAAATAAATATAAGACTCTTGTCTTATTTCGGGAAACACGGTATTTGCTTATTAACTTCAGGATGCCAAGGCTCTGCTTTGTTCACTGTTGCCCAAGCACTTAGAGAGGAGTCTGGCATACAGGAGTCATTCACAAAAGATGTGTTGAGTGTTGATTATATGGAAAGGTCACTTGAAGAGGCTGTTGTAATGGTTCACGTAAGAGTTACTAGTGGTCTGAATGAGGGGAGGGTAGTAGCAACTGGCATGAAAGAAGTGGGTGTAAGAACATATATTTGGAGGCATCCCAGTAGTTAGGACTACCAGGGCATGTACCGACTGCACCCCTGGCTAATGATTGGATTTTTAGTGTAAGAAGTAAAGGAACGAGAGGAGAGTCAAAGGATGGCTCCTGGGGTTCTGGTTTGAGTGGCTGACTGGGGCAATGATACTACTGATTGGAAGGGGAATGACTGGAGGTGGAGGGAGGTTAAGACTATGATTTCATACTGGGGAGTGTCAGTTAGGACACCTGGAAGGGAAATACAACGTGGACACATTGACTATATGGGGTAGTCGGTCCTAGACTCATAATACCAAATCGTGGAGTGTCAGTCCTGTGCTAAATGAAGGGCATTGGAGTGAGGAAGGTTCCCTTAGGGAGAACTTGTGGAGTGAGAAAAGATAGAGGTGGAATCCTACAAGGAGGCTGAGGTGAAACAACCAGAAAGACAGAGGGAAAATCCAAGGGAAAACCAATCAAGAATGCCAAGAGAATAGCTATGAGAGCAAATACAATGAAGGCAAAAGTGGTCCATGGGATTTCCAGGAATATAAAATTCACTGGTGACCTTAGTGACCAGTTAGAGAATAGAAGGAGTAGAATTCAGATTCTAGTACGTTGAAGAGTGAGTGGGAAGATAGAATGGCACTAAAGATAGGTCCAGACAACTATTTCGAGAACTCTTAACTGCTAGTGGGAGGACTACAATGGTCGTTTTACCTACAACTGGTGATCTGTTCTAGAGATAGAATCTTTCTAAAAAACACAATTAATGGGCTTCCCCTCCTAACACTGTACAGCTCTCTGCCATACCAGTAGACACTAATGACACTAATTCACAAAGTCCCTGCATTATCTTCTCAGTGACCTCAATACTAGCTAAATGCCCATACACTCTGGGTCCTATGCCAGTCAGGGTTCTGAAGGAAACAGAATGTACCCATGGCTGGTTCAAATAAAGACTCCTTAATGAAGTGACTACATATAGAGGTTTAGTTAGAGTTAAGGGAACAAACAAGGAATGGCAAAGCATCCAGTGACTAGGCAGCAAGTGGGGAACCTAAGTCATGGAAGGGATCTAGACGGTATGAGGAATGAAGGATCGCTACTGGAACCACGTGATGTGAAGCTGGAATGGGAAGAATGGACTACATTATAGAAGCTGTAGAGTTGTGGAGGGACACCACCTCTACCAGACACACAAGGTGCTGAAGTAGGCAGGGAGGGGAATTAATACCCAACCTCTCTCCAATCCTTTGGTCTGCTGCAGCCTCCCATTGGCCAACAGGAAGCCCAGAAGATGCAGTCCACTAGGGTCAGCATCCTGGGGCACAAAGCAGGACAGAGAACGGAGAAGGGACTTGAGAAGGGATGAAAGGAATACCAGATGATCTGAAAGACGCTACATCATCGCCGTTTTTCTTTTTTTATGCAGACAGAGTCTCACTTGCGTGCCCAGCGGCTAGAATGAAGTGCTGGGCATCAGCCTAGCTCACAGCAACTCATCATCACTGGGCTCTAATGTGAATCCTATTGCCTCAGCCTCCCAAAGTAACCTGAGCTACAGGCATGTCCACCATGCCCGGCTAATTTTTCCTTATATACATTTTTAGTTGTCAATTAATTTCTTTATCATTTTATACGAAACTGGGGTTTGCTCAGGCTGGTTTCAAAGCTTCCTGACCTTTGAGCAATCCTCCGCTCGGCTACCAGGAGTGCGTAGATTACAGGCGTGAGCCACCATGCCTGGCCAATAACTTACTTTCTGAGTAGGAGGAACTTCAATATAGGAGGGTATCGTTTGTAAATGGCATACCAGAAACCTTAAAGCTCCATCAAAATAGTTTTGAAATTAAGGTTAACTTATAACTTTCAAACTACGTGCAGATTCCACTTAAATTCCATAAAATATGATTTCTCATTGGATTCTGCAGCATCTATGTGAGCTAAATTTGAAACTCTTTTGAAGATGTCAGACAATTAGAAGCAAAACATCTTTCCAGACAATGTGCAAGATAATGATGATGAGATTGGGTGAAGGTTTGCTTTATAAATAGAATTGGATGTTATTACTATTTTGTGATGAAGCTATGATTGGCAATTAACAGAAAACCTAGCCTGAACTGCAGGGAAAAAGAAATTATCAAAGGTAGGAGGATTATGTATAGCATCTGGGAAACATTTCTAAATAACTTTGATGCTCATCAAAGCCCAAAGACTGCAGACTATTATAAACAATCATTCATACCTTCTTCAGAAGTCCCTAAAAAGCTCTCTGATTTCCTTCTCTCTGGCTTGATGCTTTCTTCCCTTTTTATCTTCTTTTCACCAACTTCTTGATCCTTGGTATTTGTTTCCCTTTAATGACAATGATTTGGGGCATCAAACCACGTGCATAATGGCCAGGGGAACAGGACCACACTCCAAAGGAAACATAACAGCTAGCTCTAATAAAGTGCTTCCTATGGGCCAGGCACTATGATTACGTGCTGTAATATATATTTTAATTCATTTAATTCTCATAACCACTACCATCCTCATTCCGTGATGAGGAAGCTGAAGCACAGAGAAGTTAAAGATACATATAGTAAGTTCTAGAACTGGGATCTGACACAGGCAGTCTGCCCAATACTCTGCTTTCAACCACTATGCTATATTGACTCAAAGGAAAAAAAACCCCATTTTACTTATGTTGTAATTGGTGTCCTTTCAAAACCACTACTTATTTTATTTTATTTTATTTATTTATTGAGACAGAGTCTCGCTTTGTTGCCCAGGCTAGAGTGAATGCCATGACATCAGCCTAGCTCACAGCAACCTCAAACTCCTGGGCTTAAGCAATACTGGTGCCTCAGCCCCCAGAGTAGCTGGGACTACAGGCATACGCCACCATGCCCGGCTAATTTTTTCTATATATATTAGTTGGAAACTAATATTCATTTTCTTTCTTTTTTTTTTTTTTTGAGACAGAGTCTCACTTTGTTGCCCAGGCTAGAGTGAGTGCCGTGGCGTCAGCCTGGCTCACAGCAACCTCAATCTCCGGGGCTCAGCGATCCTACTGCCTCAGCCTCCCGAGTAGCTGGACTACAGGCATGCGCACCATGCCGCTAATTTTTTGTATATATATTTTTAGTTGGTCAATTAATTTATTTCTATTTTTGGTAGAGACGGGTCTCGCTCAGCTGGTTTCGAACTCCTGACCTTGAGCAATCCCCGCCTCGGCCTCCCAGAGTGCTAGGATTACAGGCATGAGCCACCCTGCTCGGCCACCACTACTTATTTTATCACCTTATCCTTATTTCCTAAAAATCTCTCTGAAATAAATATCTAAGTAATTAAAATATCTCAACAATTTCAGACCACATTTGTCAAATTATGAAGAAGAAACCATCTCCCTCACTCAATTAGAAGTTTCTTAAGGGCCATCTACCCCTCTTTTTTGCACCTCCAGCCCCTAGAGTACAGTGCTTGGCTTATTGTCAGTGCTTAATAATTGCTGGCTGAACCAAAACAATACTGTTTAGGGATTCTTCTTGTGTTTTCATTAGATAGTCAAAACAAAACGTGTAAAATGAGAGAGAATAAAACCAGCTAGAGTGAAAAGGGATTTTATTCCTCCTAACTTTTTACCACTAATAGAATCACAAGCTCAAGAATTGGAGGAGGGCCGGGCGCAGTGGCTCACGCCTATAATACTAGCAGTTTGGGAGGCCAAGGTGGGAGGATCGCTTGAGCTCAGGAGTTCAAGACCAGACTGAGCAAGAGCAAAACCCCATCTCTACTAAAAATAGAAAGAAATTAATTGGCCAACTAAAAATATATAGAGAAAAAAATTAGCTGGGCATGGTAGTGCATGCCTCTAGTCCCAGCTGCTTGGGAGGCTGAGGCAGGAGGATTGCTCTTCAAACCAGGAGTTTGAGGTTGCTGTGAGCTAGGCTGATGCCACAGCACTCTAGCCTAGGCAACACAGTGTGAGAATCTGTCTCAAAAAAAAAAAAAAGAGTTGGAGGAGGCCTTCAAGTTATCTTCTAACTCTGTCCAAATGCCCAAAACCAGAGAGTCACCCAGCCTCTACTTGGGCAGCAGTAGCCACTGTTACAGAAAGTGTAAAGACAGCTGTTTCCCCTATCAGATTGCTGTGGCTATTAGAAAGTTTGTGCTTTACTGAATAAAATTCTGTTACTCTGCAATTTTTAGTCACTAGCTCTGTCCTTAGGGGCAGAAGAAAGCTGACTCCCTTCACTTTATGATATTTCAGGTATTTGAGGGCAGCTATCAAATTCTCTACTCCATTTGCTCTTCTCAGACTGAGCTTCCCTAGCTCTTTCAGCTGTTCTCATATGACATGGTTTCCAGACCTTTGACTGTTCTGTGGCCACCCTTGTGTTTGTTAATATCCCTTTTAAAATGTGACACCCAGAAAGGAGCTCCACATTGTGTCCTAGGAGTCCTCTAAACAGCACATTACCTGTCCCATACATTACACCTTGATCTGGACAGTACATTTCTATCGATCAAGCATTAATACTGTGTTAGCCTTTAGGCAACTTCATCAAACTGAGGCCTGACAGAGTCCTCATCCATGCCTTCTGCAGGAAGAATTTCTTGAATTCTTACCATGTCTAAAGATGCATGCTAAGTGCTGGGCACATAAAAATAAGACATACTTCCTGCCCTCAATGAAATTATAGTGAATAGGAGCGCCCGATGAAAAATTCTCTAATTTGGGGCTGAGCATGGTGGCTCACACCTGTAATGCTAGCACTCTGGGAGGCCTAGGAGGGAGGAACACTTGAGGTCAGGAGTTCAAGACCAGACTGAGCAAGAGCAAAACCCCATCTCTACTAAAAATATAAAAAATTAGCCAGGAGTGGTGGCACGCACCTGCATGCAGTCTCAGCTTCTCAGGAAGCTGAGGTAGAGAATTGCTTGAGCCCAAGAGTTTTAGGTTGCTGTGAGCTAGGCTTATGCCACAGCACTCTAGCCCAGGTGACAGGATGAGACTCTGTCTCAAAAAAAAAGATCTCCAATTAGGCCAGGTCTCCCACATTCTATAATTTTGCATCTAAAACTTTTGGTTGGATCTTTTACCTTCATCTTTTAGAGAATCTAACATTGCTACCTGTCAAGATCATTTTGAATCCTCAGTCTATCACCCATCATATTAGCATTCATTCCTAGATTTGTGTTATCTAAAAATTTGATAAGCATGCCTTTTCTGATTTAATTCAAATGACTAATGAAAATGTTGAAGGTAGTAGGGCCATGATATAGCAATTTTAGAGGCTTCTCTCTATACTGATATCAATCTGCTAATCAATATCTTGAGCACTATGGGTGGCTGGAGGAAGAGGGGCAAGCCTAAGAGTGCAGACAGATGGAGTCAGAGCTGGCTTATCTACAGCAATGTAATGCCATCACCAGACAGTCACTCCCCAAGGAGTCTAAAACCTAGCCCCACTTCCTGAAAAAGAAGAAAATGATTCCCTAATGGGGAACAATAACCTTGGAGAGCTCTTGGCGAGGTCCGGTAGCTCCATGCTCTCCTCAGGTGGCTGCAGCCATCTTTCCAGGTCCTCATCCAAAGAAGAGTGAGCTCTGGCAAAGGACAAGTGAAGAGAATGGAGACAACCATCATTTCCCTTCTCCCTTGATAAGTACACATAAGACTTTAGAGTGGGAAGGGAACTGTGCTTTCACATACGTATAAGAAAATGAAAACATAGTAAGATTGTGTCTAGGTTGCTTAGATATGATTTAAACGTACACCAAAACAGTCCTTTAGTTTCTTGACAAAAAGGTTTGGCACTCATGAGATCACTTCCTCCCAAAGTCCGATGTTAGACTCTGTCTCAAATCTAGGTCATTAAGTCAGTTTCTACTTTAGGCTAAAACTATATACACTTTCCTACATGTTCTTCTAAGAACTACCTCTGAGGCTAGAAGATGCAGAGTGGAGTGTTTTAAGAAGGCTTGAAAAGTCTCACCCATCTGAAAAAATATCTTCTACTGTGGCTTGGTGCCTAGATTGGTCATTCACAGCACTGAGTTGAGTGTCTGTGGAGGATCTATCTGTGGCCAGCACTGCCAGAACTTTTAGAAAAGGAAGAGACAACAATAACAGTAGCTAACTTCTGATCATGTACAAAGAAGTTAATATTTATATAACCAAAGGTAACGTGGCCTTCCTGAGCAACTCTTCTTTTGCCTTGAATAATGGCATAGATTTGTTACTGAAGGTGTTCTGGAGAGATGGAAGGACTGAAATTACATCACACATCATAGACCAAAGGTTTCTAAAACTTCCCTTGAAAAAATATTTTTCTTCCCCATGTTTGCCTCTTTTGTTTTCTCTGTCTCCCCCAAATCTCTCTCCCCTCTTTCCTACCAGGTCATAGGGCTCCAATCCTCTCTACTTCCCAGACCCTCCCTTCCAGGTCTCTTGCTTTTTCACCCTTAAATAAAGAATAATTTAGTCCTTGAAGAATGTGACAGATACTAGATTTGCTACCCAAAAGTTATTCGTAACATTCTCTTTTATTTTCTTCTTCTATAGCAGCTGCAAAGCTAAAAACTTAGTTTGCCTTATACCCATTTTGAGATATAATGAGATACAATGAGATATAAGTGGGCACCTGCAGGGAAGGATTTCTGGGAAAGTTTTTGCTTTCCAGGTTAAAAGGGGCAGAGTCCGATAAAATATTCCTTTGCCCACCCCTATCTCTGCTTGTTGTGTAGACAGCAGCCAGGAGAGGACAAGCTGTAAAGAAAGGCCAACATGCCATCGACAACAGAGCAGGAAGATCAAAAAAGCCTAAGTCCCTGGTGGCATCACTGAACTACTACAACAGCCATGCCCTTCCACCTGTGGACCTCGTTAAGCGAGACAAACTCATTTAAGCACAACAGTGGGGTTTTCTATTGTTCACAGCTGAAAGCATTCTACATGGCTTCCCCAAGGATCCACAGGGCCAGGATTAAAATGAGGTGAGTGGTACAGGTGCAAACTCAGATCCTATTTTTCTTCAAAATTTAGACATTTTGTTCATCATGGATATTTCTGCGTTAAATTTGATTTTTTAACATATTGCAATAAAAGGGCTGATCCAATGACTTATGCCTATAATCCCAGCTATTGGGGATGTAGGGATAGCTGAGGTGGGAGGATCGCTTGAGCCCAGGAGTTTGAGGCTTCAGTGAGCTATGATCACACCACTGCACTCCAGCCTGGGCCACAGAGTGAGACCCTATCTCAACAACAACAACAAAAATTGCATTAAAATAATATTTATCTTGACTACTGAGTGTTTTTTGATGCTCCCTTCAATTCTGTGTCCCAGGAGTGTGTCTCATTCACCTCACTCTAGTCCTGGCCCTGAATGACGACAGTTTAAGACAAGGCAGGAAAAGGCAAGAGGCAAAGGTGAGCGGAAGTGGTTTACCTTACAACACAGGCAAAAGAGATCCAAATCAGGAACAGAATCAGGTTTCTTGAGGCAACCTTGTACTTTTAGACTGAACTATCTGGGCAATTGCCCCCATTTTCTCTTATTGGCTAGAAGATCTAAAATTCTCTTCCAAGGCTTTTAATTAAAATGTTCTGAAAAAAACTGAAACCTGTGTGTGCCTAACAAAATGAAGTAAAAAACAAACACAAAGCCCCAAAACAACAACAAAAAATCAACAACAAATAACCCTATTTTAAAAAAATGGGCAGGCCAGGCATGGTGGCTCACACCTGTAATCCTAGCACTCTGGGAGACTGAGGTGAGAGGATCGCTTGAGGTCAGGAGTTGGAGACAAACCTGAGCAAGAGTGAGACCCCGACTCTACCAAAAAATAGAAAAAAATTAGCTGGGTGCAGTGGTGTGTGCCTGTAGTCCCAGCTACTCGGGAAGCTGAGGCAGGAGGATTGCTTCAGCCCAGGAATTTGATGTTGCTGTGAGCTAGGCTGACACCACGGCACTCTAGCCAGGTGACAGAGCAAGACTTCATCTCAAAATAAATAAATTAATTAAAAAGTGCAAAAGGCCAGGCGCAATGGCTTTTGCCTCTAATCCCAGCACGTTGGGACGCTGAGGCAGAAGGATTGCTTGAGCCCCAGGAGTTCAAGACCAGGCTGGTAAACGTAGCAAGACCTTATCTCTATGAAAAGTTTAAAAATTAGCCGGGTATGGTGGTGCACACCCTTAGTCCCAGCTACTTGGAGGCTGAGGCAGGAGGATTGCTCTAGCCCAGGAGTTTGAGGTTGCTGTGAGCTAGGCTGACGCCACGGCACTCTAGCCTGGGCGACAGAGTAAGACTCAGTCTCTAAAAACAAACAAACAAACAAACAAAAAAGAATAATCAAACTCATAGAAACAGAAAGCAAAATAGTGGTTGCCAGGGGCTGGGGAGAAAAGAAAATGGGGAGTTGTTCAATGGGTATAGAATTTCAGTTTTACAACATAAATTCTTGACACTGGTCGTACAACAGTATGAATATAATTATTAATACTACTGAACTATACACTAAAAATGGTTGAGATGGCAATTTTATGCTATATATGTTTTATCACAATTAAAAATTTTAAAAAAGCAAAAATAAAAAAAACCTTTTAGGAATAGGGGTTATTAGGATAGAATGAAAGAAGAACATGTTTTCCCTTCTTATTTGTCAATATTAGAAAAAAAACTAATAGAAACAAATACAATTTTAAAAATCCTTTCAAAAGTCCAGCTTTTTCTGTTACCTCTCTGTGTCCTCTCCTAGATCCTGAGTTTCTTTGGTCCAAAGTATACTATCTTCTTTATTACCATCAGTTTCTTGTTCTTCTAAGTGCCTTTTATCTAAAAACAGTTGAAAGAATTAACTTTATTAGAACAAGAAAAAAAATTGGAAAAGCCTGCCTTAAAATGGAGTGCAAAAATTAAGGCTAGTCAGTGGTCCCTGAAGTATGCAATGGATTAGCTCTCCTCTTCCCACGAGAGCAGGGGGCCAGGTGGCAGCCTGCGGGTGCCTTATTCGCAGCAGCTGCTTCTGGGGTCCTGGGAGTCTTTGGTGCCAGGTGAAGCTACAGGAAACCTTGCCTGTGCCAAGGCTGGAGAGAGAGGAAGCAAAGGAAAGAAAGGGCACAGTAAAAGAGGAAGCAAGCAACCCTGTAAACAAACTTACTTTGGGGTTCTTGCTTATTTGATGTTTCTAGGTTGGAGTCCCAGGGAAGGAATTTGGGTGGGGAAGCTATGTACCCTTTAATGTATGCCAAGAATTTTATATATGCTGTCTCATTTCATCCTGCCAGCAGTCCTATGAAGGAAAGGGGACTAACATTTGCTAGGTATTTTACAATGCACCAGCCACTCTACACGGAGGTATTATATATATCATTAATTAAGAGTTATTATACCCATATTATAGATGAGGACAACTGAGACTTGGAGACATTAAACAGTTTGCCACACAAAAGTAGCTGGGCATGGTGGCTCATGACTGTAATCCCAGCACTTGTGGAGGCCAAGGTGGAAGGATCCCTTGAGGCCAGGAGTTTGAGACCAGTGGGAGCAACATAGGGAGACCCTCCCCTCTACAAAAAATAAAAAAAAAAATCAGATAGGCGTGTTGACATGTGCCTGTAGTCCCAGCTACTCAAGAAGCTGAGGCTGGCTGGGCGTCGTGGCTCACGCCTGTAATCCCAGCACTCAGGGAGGCTGAAGCAGGGGGGGTGGGGATTGCTTAAGCTCAGGAGTTCGAGACCAGCCTGAGCAAGAGTGAGACCCTGTCTCTACTATAAATAGAAAGAAAATTAAGCCGGGTGCGGTGGCTCACGCCTGTAATCCTAGCACTCTGGGAGGCTGAGGCGGGGGAGTTCGAAACCAGCCTGAGCAAGAGCGAGACCCCGTTTCTACTATAAATAGAAAGAAATTAATTGGCCAACTAATATATATATAAAATTAGCCGGGCACGGTGGCGCATGCCTGTAGTCCCAGCTACTCGGGAGGCTGAGGCAGCAGGATTGCTTGAGCCCAGGAGTTTGAGGTTGCTGTGAGCTAGGCTGACGCCACGGCACTCACTCTAGCCTGGGCAACAAAGCGAGACTCTGTCTCAAAAAAAAAAAAAAAAGAAAGAAAATTAGCCAAACAACTAAAAATAGAAAAAAAATTAGCTGGGCACAGTGGCGAGTGCCTATAGTCCCAGCTACTCGGGAGGGTGAGGCAGGAGGATCCCTTGAGCCCAGGAGTTTGAGGTTGCTATGAGCTGACTCCACGGCACTCTAACCCAGGCTACAGAGTGAGACTCCATCTCAAAAAAAAAAAAAGAGGCTGAGCATAGAGGTTGAGGTTGCAGTGAGCTATCAGTGCACCACTGCACTCCAGCCTGCTTTACAGAGACCCTGTTTCTAACAAACACAACAAAAACAAAAGTAACTGGAATCAGAAATGAGGTGGAGTTGTGCCTGACCTCAAGGTCACACTTGCCCATATATACAACTGTCAAGGACAATGTTATAGCAAGAACCTGATGAAAAAGATCTGTGTAGTTAGCTTACCATTTGGAGTGATGCTGGGATCACCTGCTGTGTACTCATCCAACACTGTGGATGAGGCCTGCTGCTGCTTCAAGTGCTCTGTCACAATACAAAAGCAGAAGGTGACTTAGTTTCTCTTTTGCATATCCCACCATTCTCTAGAGCAGTGTATCTCAAAAGGTGGTCCTCAGACCAGCAGCATTAGCATAACCTGGAATCTTGTTAGGAATGCAAATTCTCAGGCCTCACTTCAGACCTACTGAATCAGAAACTCTGGGGATCCAGCAATTTGTGTTTTAACAAGTCCTGCAGGTGATTCTGATGCCTGATAAAGTTTGAGAACCACTGCTTTAGGGTATTCCAAGTTTGAAAGCAATTTTTCAAGTATGGCAAAATCCCATACAACACTCAAAATAAAAATAAAAATGATGTTACATAGTACTTCGAAAGCCCTATGTGGCAGGTCCTGTTTCTAAGCACTTACATACATTAATGTTCACAATTAATCTTTACAACAACCCTGTGAAATTGATTGCATTATTGTTATCCTGTTTAATAGATGAGGATAAGGTTAAGGAATTTACCTAGACTCACACAGATAAGTGGTAGAACTGGGATTTGAATCTAGGCAATCTAGCTCTAAGCTTTCTGCTCTTAATCTCTATTTTATACTTTCTTAAGAAGTTTGTAACAACATCAGAACAATCCAGATGTTTTCCCATCTCTACTGGCCTATGCTTCTTGCTTTCTTTTTTAAGAGACAGGGTATTGCTATGTCGCCCAGGCTGCTAGAGTGCAGTGGCATGATCATAGCTCACTGCAGCCTCCAACTCCTGGGCTCAAGAAATCCTCCTGCCTCAGCCTCTCAAGTAGCTGGGACTAGAGAAGCCTGTCACCATACCCGGTTAAAATTTTTTTTTTTCCGAGATGGGGTCTTGTTATGTTGGCCAGACTGGTCTTGAATTCCTGGCCTCAAGCAATCCTCCCATTTTGGCCTCCCAAAGTGTTGGATTACAGGTATGAACCACAATTCCCAGCCTGTTTCATATTTTTTACTTGGTCTATAGAAAGACAGAAGACAAAGAATATCCATCATTTCCAGTTCCTAAAGAAATACTCACTGGACCAAGACAAGCATCTGCTAAACTCAGTATGCTGCTTTGCATTTGTTTAGTCTCCTCAAAGTGCTCTGCAAAGCAGAAGGACAGCTGGGAGGCAGCATAGACAAGTCACTCTGAGCTGGCTGGCTTGGTCCTGTTCTGTGCAGGCACAGGTCTGCTCTGTTTCTGCAGTGCAGGAAGCAGCCCTAACTGGCAGCTCCTGGGTGTCAAGGGGCCCCATAAGAGCATTTAATATAATTTGAAACTTTAAAAATCCATTTTTGGCCGGGCGCGGTGGCTCATGCCTGTAATCCTAGCACTCTGGGAGGTCGAGGTGGACGGATTGCTCGAGGTCAGGAGTTTGAAACCAGCCTGAGGCAAGAGCAAGACCCCATCTCTATTATAAATAGAAACAAATTAATTGGCCAACTAATACATATAGAAAAAATTAGCCAGGCATGGTGATGCATGCCTGTAGTCCCAGCTACTCCAGAGGCTGAGGCAGGAGGATTGCCTGAGACCAGGAGTTTGAGGTTGCTGTGAGCTGGGCTTACGCCACGGCACTCACTCTAGCCTGGGCAACAAAGCGAGACTTTGTCTCAAGAAATAAAAATAAATAAATAAATAAAAATCCATTTTTATCCTTGTTAAAAGTAGTTCCTCACTGATTTTAAATTATCACCTATATCTTAGGGTTCTAAAGGACCCTCCCCAACACTCCTACACTGCTGGTGGAACTACAAACTAGTTCAACCTCTGTGGAAAGCAATGTGGAGATACCTCAAAGCGATACAAGTAGATCTACCATTTGATCCAGCAATTCCACTACTGGGCATCTACTCAAAAGATCAAAAGTCACTTTATGAAAAAGACACACCTGCACTCAAATGTTCACAGCAGCACAATTCACAATTGCAAAGCTGTGGAAACAACCCAAGTGCCCATCAGTTCATGAGTGGATTAATAAAATGTGGTATATGTATACTATGGAGTACTACTCAGCTGTAAGAAACAACAGTGATATAGCACCTCTTGTATATTCCTCGATAGAGCTGGAATCCATTCTACTAAGTGAAGTATCTCAAGAATGGAAAAATCAGCACCACATGTACTCACCAGCAAATTGGTATTAACAGATCAACACCTAAAAGGACATATAGGAGTAACATTTATCGGGTGTCCGGAGGGTGGGAGGGGGGAGGAGGGGATATGTATATACAACCAAAACGAGTAAGATGTGCAACGTTTGGGGGATGGACACACTTGAAGCTCTTACTCGAGGAGAGAGGGGGGCATGGGCAATATATGTAACCTTAACACTTGTGCCCCCATAATACGCTAAAATAAAATAAAATAAAATAAAAATAAAGTTAACTATTGCCTAATAAAAATAAAATAAAATATGTTATTTAAGTAAAAATATTATAGTATTATATCTAGAATCTGACTCTGGATATTTTCGTTCCATTCATTATAAGAAGGCATCTCCATGGAAGTCATACTGAGTTGGGGACGATGTGAGGTGTTATGGATAAGGGACCAACTGCAATATAACAGTCTGAGGCCAAGTGTTAAAATTACAAATCACAACACATGCATCCAAGTTATGGTTTCAGCCAATGCTGAAGTTATTTATTTATCAAATACATATGGAATATCTATTATGTCCTAAGCATTGTTCTGAGGGTATAGCAGTGGTTGGGATAGGAAAAAGCCCATATATATATATCTGATTGACAACTATTCCGAAACAAGATTTAGTCTTCAAAAAAAACTGCATAGTCACCTTCATATGGATGTTTAATGTGTGATATGTTTTTAAAAATCATGTACATCATTTTTATGCACATCTTACATTGATGGACTTCTATTATTTTATTTATTAAGTACTATAATACTGCTTCAAGAAATGTAGCTTTAGTATGGCCAAAGAAAATCCACATCTGATTATGATATTAGAATTTTCTTCAAAGCTATTTGTGTTGATTTTAACTTCCAGTCACACACTTGGAAGATGGGGCGAAAGGGGAGTGACAGGAAGTCTTTAAAATTAGAAGCCTTATTTCTTTTAGATATATCTTTATTTTTTAGATCTTTGGTTTAAGCTTATAAAAAATTAAATTAAATTAAATTTTTAAAAATAAAATAAAATAAAGGACCCTCTCCTTTAAGTCCCTGTCAGGAACCTAGAGCCTTGGATGTATGCCCTCCAAAAGAACAGGTGGCAGTTTCAGGTCACTTCCCAAAGGTCTCTCTAGGAGAAACAACATAGAGTGATGATACACAATAATCAGGTGGGCAGGCCCATTATCCGGAGAAATTACTCAAGTGCCCTCCGCCCTGTGTCTTTCTGGAAAATTACTGACCCATCTCAAAGTGCAGGCATCACCTAGAAACCTGGCCCAGATAATTCCCATAAGTGAAATAAGGGAAGGCTTCTGCAGACTGCATTGGGGTACAGCAGCGCCATGAGGCCAGCACCCAGGAGGAAGCCTGGTAGCACAGCTGCTGACAGGGGGAGGTGGCCGGAGGGTTCACATGGTGACTGCAGAGAGAGGACAGCAGAGAAGTATCGGCTGTGGTCAAACTGCAAAGGAGCCTACAAGTACTGCCTGAAACATGACCAAGGAACAAGGATACTGAGAAACTAACTACCTAAGCTGGATGTGTGTGAAGTATCCCCCACTGCAAACAGTCCTATTATTTTAAGAACAGCAACTGGAGAAGGGGAATTTGTAAAGACTGCCTAGAGAGTCTCAGAGGTGGAAAGCAGGGTTGGGGGTGTGGGCTCTAAGATCCTGACTCAACAACTCTGTGACCTGGACAACCCTGTGGCACTGGGGGAGGGGTGCAGTGAGGCAAGAAAGGGCCTATGGCTATGGAAAAAGAAAGAAACCAAGGAAGGTTCTGGCAACCTGACTGGCTCTACCTAAACTTGTCAGGCCAAGGGGCAGGGGCTAAGGGTTACGATGGGAGCCTAGAGGGTAGCTGTCTGTTGAGTAGAGCAGTAAGCCCTCATTTACTTCTTTCTTTGTGAGACACAGAACCTCAGAGACCCTGAAAACCACGTGGTGCCCCTCAAGAAATTCTCTATGGGCTCCCTAACAAGATTTGGACTACCAGAAGTATGATGAGATGCATCCCCCAAGGGCAAGGGGCCAAGCTGGCCAAGCTGCCAAGAAGAGAACAGTGAGGTCTTTCCAGGGGAAGCAGACCATATATATAACTCTCTGCAACTCTCTATAACTATGTGCCATTTACTTTCATCATAAGCTCAGCTGGGCAGGGCCAGCAAATCAGCTGCAAATGAAATTGTTAGTACTGCTCAGTTTCTGCCTGAAAATTCTGGTCTCATGAAGTTTTGTGTCCCTGGCTTCCCTGCTCTTCGGAAAGGGAATTATTCACAATTCCAATACTTTTAATCCCTCCTGCTAATGGCAAAACTGAAAGTACAGGTGTCTTGGCCTGAGCAGCCGGACCTCAGGCCTCCATGGAACGATTGGTTTGGTTTCAAAAGGAGATACGAATTCCTCTAATAAAAGAAGTTCATCATAATAAACCACTTGAATGTTTGTCATTTCCCCTTAGAATCATCACCATAAACTCTTTAAGTAACAAAATGACAACAGACACATGCCAATTATCCCAGCCAGGCTGTGGCCCATTTTACTGGAAAACTGCCCCTTCCTAAATTTCATACATTCAACCAGACCTTGATAGGGCCTTTCTCACTAGTGCTCATACTTGAGACAAAGAAACCATATTGTGGTCAGTGGCTTAACTGAACAGAGACAATGAGTAGATTCTGTATTGAACATCCCTTACCAATTTCGTCAAGTAGCTCCTGAGATGGTGGTGGTAGCTCATCAATGAGATGTTGTGAGATGGCTTCTACTAGTTCTTAAAAAAGATAAAGGGGGAAATGACTTAACACCTTCCTGGACTTGAATTGGATTTTTCTAGGCTCCCACACAGACTTGACTGAGGGTTTCCCAAAGATGAAACAAATTAAGGAGGAAGGAAGCCTCTCACATAACAGTCCCAGGAGAGACCTCCTAGCATGTGAATGGCCTTTACCTCCCTTTTACCCCAAACCCTTTCCTACCTCAGCCCTTATCCAGTCCTGCTCGATATGTGCTCCTCCCTTCCTAAGGACATTTGGAGTAGGTAAGGTACAAACTCTTACTAACAGGCTGGGGCTCAAACCAGACCAGGGCTGCTAGAGGAATACAGAGGTTCTGGACCAGCCAAAATGAACAAAAACACAAAGTAAGACGCCTTTCTCTACACATTATCAAGCCAGGGGATATAAGAGCAACCACACTTTGGTTGCTTGCCCCAAGTGCTCAATTATAACATTAACCAAAACACTTTAATGTACTTCACAAAAATCCCTATCCACCTGATGAAAATTCCAACAGCTGTACCAAAGACATAAGACATTAAATTAATGTAACAAAGGCATTATGCATCAAGAGCTGATAACATACTCAGATCCTTTGATTTGGAAACTGTCTTCTAAGAATCTATCCTAAGGAAAGGATCAAAGGTACAAACAAAGACTTACATACAGAGAACAAAAACTGGAAAATGATACATATCTTCAACGTAAGGGAATGGTTAAGCAACATATGTAGAATAGACTATTATGCGGCTATTACATATATTTATGAATAATTTTTCATGACAAGAGAAAATTCTCAAAAATCTATCAAGGCGGAATGAAAAAGCAGTCCAGAACTGGTATACAATATGATCTCAACTATGCTAAAAATATTTTTATGTATTTATAAAAATATAAAAAGCATATGCACCAAAATAGTACATGAGGTAAAAAAAAAAATTGTAGTGGTTTTCCTTTTTTAAGCTTTTCTTTATTCTCCAACTTTTCCATAATTAGCGTGTTTTACTTTTACAGTTGGGGGAAAACAGCATTTTTGTTGGAACCTAATGTACCATCAAAGATTGTTGGGCATTAGTTTAAGCCTCCCTTAAATTGGCTATTATAAACTTCATTTTTGACATTAAACACAAGGTACCTTTAGGCAGGCTCCTTCTCTGGGTGGTTTGGGGTGATATGTCAGACGCTTTAGCAATGTTGGAGGAACCAGCCCCAGTAAATGAAGACAATCTTTTCTAAAAGAGATAAATGTGGTAACTAACACTTCTGTTGAGTTAAAAAAGCACATGCAACTCAGTCATTTCCACTTGATTTGTTAAGTCAACTCATTCACATGTCACTTCCTCTGAAAAGCATTCTTATCCGCCTCTGCTGCCTCAGCACTCAGCACTTACCTCTGTGTTACATCAGGCCTTTCTTTCTCACTGCAGCCTACAACTCCTGGGCTCAAGCGATCCTCCTGCCTCAGCCTCCCTAGTAGCTGGGACTACAAGCATGTGCCACCATGCCTAGCTAAACTTTCTTAATCACATTTGCATGCATGGAAGAGGGCCTGACATGGTGCCTGGCACTTAAAACCTGCTTCAATTAACAGTTTGTTGAATGAAAGCATAAAATTAGTTGTCATTTTCCTACTTCAAAGTGAGTGAGACCTTTTGTGAGCCAAATTCACAAGGAAGTTGACAATAAATTTTCCATTGAGGGCCAAAGCAAGCGATCAGTCTGTCCACAGAATGATCAGACAACAGGGTTTTTTTGAGACTGAGTTTTGCTCTGTTGCCTGGGCTAAAGTGCTGTGGCATAAGCGCCTAGCTCACAGCAACCTCAAACTCCTGGGCTCAAGTAATCCTCCTGCCTCAGCCTCCTGAGTAGCTGAGACTACAGGAATACGCCACCATGCCTGGCTAATGTTATCTATATATTTTTAGATATCCAGCTAATTTCTTTCTATTTTTAGTAGAGATGGGGTCTCGCTCCGACTGGTCTCGAACTCCTGAGCTCAAACGATCTGCCCACTTCAGCCTCCCAGAGTGCTAGGATTACAGGCGTGAGCCACTGTGCTAGCCAGCCAAAGGTTTGTAATGAGCAGTACAATGTAAGGAACTTGTAGTATTATTGAAAAGACTACATATATGAAATACGAGAGAGCGAGAGAGAGAGAAAAAGAAGAAATAAAAGAGGAAGAGGTAGGGAGGAGAAGAAGAAAGTAGCATACAATTAAGTGTTTTTCCTACAGGCTATTAGTTCATGAGTTCAGAGAAGGTGGAGATCAATAAAAATTCTCAGGGAAGCAACCAGTGCAGGCTTCAAGGAGGAAGCAAAACTTAAGCCTCCTATAATACAGATGCAGGAGAGGAGCCCCAGGGAAGCCTGGAGAGGATCCAGCTTATTTCTTGCTTTCTTAATGGATCTGGAGAAGTCTTGGCACTTACTGAAGCCCTTTGGGCTGACTCCATGAGTGTGTAATGCCGAATTGGTATACTTACGAGATCAGTCAGTCTTGAAGGAGGAGTTACAGAGGAAGTAAGGAGAGAATCCAGGCTCTTTGCTTTCTCTTGGACAGTTGTAAATTTATCAGACAAAGTTGGAATAGATTCTTGACTGTCCCTGTAAGACGTAGACCCTGTTTTAACCTGAAATGTGATACTTTCAAGGCAGTCTTTATAGCGACTGGTAGCTGAAGACATTGACCCTGTTGTAAAAAAGGCGGCAGTCAGTATCTGAATCCTTTACATTATAAAAAACAAAAAACAAAAAAAAAACACCCCAAACTCACAAAACTCTATACTTATACCAGGGATTTTCCAAATTGTTAATAACTAAAATAATCATTAATCTGAAACACAGTTCTTCAAGGTATAAAAACTTGGCCATTGAAATAAAGGGAGATTTTTCTTTTCTTTTCTTTTTTTTTGAGACAGAGTCTCACTCTGTTGCCTGGGCTCGAGTGCCGTGGCATCAGCCTAGCTCATAGCAACCTCAAGCTGCTGGGCTCAAGCGATCCTCTTGCCTCAGCCTCCCAGGTAGCTGGGACTACAGGCACGTGCCACCATGCCTGGCTAATTGTTTCTAATTTTTAGTTGTCCAGCTAATTTCTTTCTATTTTTAGTAGAGACAGAGTCTTGCTCTTGCTCAGGCTGGTCTCGAAGCTCAAGCAATCCTCCTGCCTCAGCCTCCCAGAGTGCTAGGGTTACAGGCTTGAGCCACTGTGCCCGGCCAAAGAGAGATATTTTAAATCACAAATATACTGGAAATGACACTAAAAAGATATTTGATGCTGGTGGTATATGGTTGCAGGACTCAAGAACTACATATGTTTAAGCATAGGGTACTGTTTTATGTTGCAAACTCTAGAAAATCCTGTGGTTTTGCACTAAATTTTGTAATGCTTAGAGTACAGAGTAGATTTTGCATTTGCATGTCTCTGTCACCGCAGTCCTAACCAAAACCTCCCAATGACTGCCCAATAACCAACACCACCAACCCTACCTGGCCTCCCAAGGGATTATCCCCTGCAGTTTTGGCCAAAAGGAAATAATACCTCAGCACTGTGAGAAAACAGCCACCAGATCTGATCCCATGGCCTGAGTTCCCAGAGTCAATGGGCAGGGGTTGTAAGTTCTTTCCCCCAAATGCTTCTCCTCCCTATGAGTGATTACCTGGACTGAGGGGAGTGCTGACACTAGTAGGTGCATGGTTTATTTTGGGTGTTTTGCATGAGGTTTCCTTAAAAGAACTGTCTTGTTCACAGGAAATACTAGACAGGTCTTGAATATCTGTCAATGATCTAAAGAGGAGAGTACACAGTAATTGTGAGAAGATGGTTAGAAAAATCAAACAATATATTCCTGAGAGGTACTTTTTAAGTATACTCTTAACAAAATCTTTATTTGACAATAGGCCAGAATTAGAGAATACCTTAGAATATCTTACATATCTTAAAGAGAATATTAGACAATATCTTAAAAAGAGATAACTTTAAGCATATCTCAGCAGCTAAAAATAAATGTTATCAGAGATAAAAAGACATTTATGTGGAAAACAGATTAAATCTACCTGAAGTATAAACTTACATTATTACTGTCACTGTATTTCCTTGATTATAAGATGCTATTAATTATAAAATCACATCATGAATTTGATAACAGCTTTTTGGTGAAAGGAGAAATATGCTCACATTAAGTGTATACATAAAAAATGGAAAGAATATAGATTCTTATAAACAAGGAAATATTATTCCCTTAAAACCAAGACTTTACACAATCATCCTTAGGCAACTCTCTTTGGTGGCCATACATGTCTTTCTCTTTCAGTTCCTTTGGTGACTCCTTTAATGTCTCTTCTTGTTCACCTTCAGCACTGTGAGAGAGAAAGTAAGAAAATTATGTTTCATCCTGTCCATTATCTTGGTGAAAGAAATAAAAATTTTATAAAAATAAATTTAAATAATTAAAAAAGAAAGAAAATTATATGAATCCCCTCTGTCAACAAGTACACTAGCTTGGTACAAGGGACTAATTTTCAGCCCAGTGTGAGAAGCAGTGGAAAGGGCAGTAAACTCAGAAGTAGGAAGCGTGGGTTCTGGTTCTGGCTCTGCTACTAACTAGCTGCAAGTTCTCTAGCATGTCTGGGCCTCAATTTCTTCTTTAGAGATTGACTAAATACTCTCCAGGGTCAGCCCAGCTCTGAAATCAGTCAGTGACTCTATATGACAGTGAGCAAGTTTCTGAGAAAAGCAACAGAGCACAGGCACTTTGCTGGGAGTAGACATTGGAGCCTGGGGCACAGCCAGGAGGCCTTAGCAACTGTGAGACAGCTTCCTGGTCTAGAGTAGCAACAGAGGCCAAGAGAGGCTTGTACCAGAAAAATGGCCAGAAGAGAATACTGGAGACAAACCTGACCCATTTCTCCTGTAACCAATATTTAATATTCAATTTTAATACTCATTGAACACTATAAGCCAGATGCCATGTTAAATCCTTCCATATGTTTTTACATTTTTTTTTTTTTTGAGACAGAGTCTTGCTTTGTTGCTCAATCTAGAGTGAGTGCTGTGGCGTCAGCCTAGCTAACAGCAACCTCAAACTCCTGGGCTCAAGCAATCCTGCTGCCTCAGCCTCCTGAGCTGGGATTACAGGCATGTGCTATCATGCCTGGCTAATTTTTTCTATATATATATGTTAGTTGGCCAATTAATTTCTTTCTATTTATAGTAGAGACAGGGTCTTGCTCTTGCTCAGGCTGGTTTCGAACTCCTGACCTCGAGCAATCCACCAGCTTCGGCCTCCGAGAGTGCTAGGATTACAAGCGTGAGCCACCGTGCCCGGCCTGTTTTTACATTTTTAATCCTTGCAAAACCTTGTGAGACCAATGGTATAAAGGAAAGAGCATAGACTGGAGTTGAGTTGTGACTTTATTAATTCTGTTCACCAAAATGTTTGTTTCTCTTGCCAAACACAGTAGAACAGTACTTTTGGCCCTCTTGATTTACACAAATGGCCACAGGACTTGTTTTAACCAATGAAATATGAGTGAAAGTGATGAGTCACTTCTGGATGGAAAATTTAACAGTGCAAAATTCACTATGTTCCATTTTCCCTGCCTTAGCAATCAGGGAAGCACAAAAATGGAGCCCCCTTCAGTCTGGGTCTCAGATAGAAGATAACACAGCACAAGAACACCCCAACCTATGAGACATGATTAGGAAGCATGAGCAAAAAATAAACTTTTGTTGTTTTAAACCACTAAAATTTAGGGGTTGTTTGCTATGTAGCATAATCTAGTCTGTCCTAACTCTCTAAACTTTGCTTTTGTTGCTAGCAAAATGGAGGTAACAACATGAACTTTAGAGGGTTAAGTGAATTTTATCCTGTTAAGTGGATTAAATTAGACCACAAAACAGAGTGCCTGGCATATGATAGATGCTTAAGAAATACTAGCTATAATTATTATAATTAAGAAAACTGAGGCCCAGTGAAGGGAAAATGAATGGAATATTATTGTGCCAGGCACTTTACATCTATTATTAGTTTTTTCTAAATTTTTATTTTGAGATAATTGTAATTCACATGCAATTGTAAGAAATATACTTTACCCACTTTACCCCCAATGGTAACATCTTGCAAATCTATAGAATAATTATCACAACCAGGATATTGATATTGATACAGTCAAGACACAGAACATTTCTACCACCACAAGGATCCCTCATGTGTCTTATTTATAGCCATGACTACTTCCCTCCTCCCCAACCCCTTACTTAACCCCTGGCAACCACCCATCTGTCTTTATTTTTATAATTTTGTCATTTCAAGAATGTTATATAAATGGAATCATACAGTAACTACATTTTGGGGATTGCTTTTTCTACTCAGCATAATTCTCTGGAGATTTAGCCAGCTGCTTGCACTTAGGGATGAACAATAGTTCATCCCTTTTTACTGCTACGTAGTACTCAGTAGTATGGATGTACCACAGCCTGTTTAATAATCCACCTGGGGAAGAATATCTGGGTTTTCAGTTTGGAGCTATTATGAATAAATTTGCTATAAACATGTATATGTTTTGTGTGAACATAAGTCTTCATTTCTTTGGGATAAATGCCCAGGAGTTACATTATTACTTTCAATTCCTATGTGAACATTCCCACTAAGAATTCTTAACCTTATTTACAGGTGGTAAAATAGAATAGAGGGGCTGAGAACCTGGACCAAGACCACACGAATAGAAAGGCAGCATCAGGATCTGAGTACAGATAATGACTCCGTTTTAGCACCACTCAAATTCTGCTGAACAAGTCCTAAGAAAGCTAAATTGCCCAAACCTAATTTTTATAAGACTGTAGCTAATACATCCCAAGATCCAAGATAAACAGTATATGTATGGAGCGTTACCACCATTTAACATGTGTTCTATGAGTCTGAAATTGTGAATAAGATAGTAATAGTCCATACCTTTGTATAGGTTGAAAGTTAGACCGGGTCAAAATCTCAGCATTCTTTCCAAGAATTTTTGTCACTTGGAACTTTTCCTCACCTGCAAGAATAAATTAAAGTAAATGTATTTTTTACTGAATTTTTGCCAACTCAGATTATTATTTTCAATCCCTAGAATTTCCCTTGGTCTGGTTCAGAATGAGAAATAGGGATTCTGTTAGGGATAAACAAAGTGCTTCCCTAATTGGGTTTGGACTGAGTGCTGTAGAAGAGGTTTTTGCTCTGAAAGTTTATTTTCCTTGCTCAGAGGGGAGAACTATATTCTGACACTCGGGATACAATCAAGCCATTTACTGGCCTTTCAGTATAACCACACAGTTATTTCTAGAGACAAATGTTATTTTGTCTTTGCCTTTCAAGGCACTGACCCGGTTCCTGTCCACAGACACCAGGGGGCGTTGAGACCAAAAACTGTTCACTAAAGATTCTAAACAGAAAAGACCATAGCTGGGCATTCCCAGAGCACTAATTGTACCTCTTGGCCATCAAACACCACCTAAAGAGTGAGGGTGGGAGTGGGATCCTGAGTACTAAGGAGCTAATTCTGTTTTCCTTGGCACTGAGTGTCTGAAGTTACTTCTCCCCAATTCTTAGTAAGATGCTTTGCAGACCTCCAGGCAGACAGGGCCAGTATCCATTTTCTTTCCCACCACTGTCCTATTCTATTCATAGAGAAGCGGCATACAGAGCAGCCTGCCCTGTTTCTAAATGCTCATGACTCCCCCAAACCCCATTCCCTAGGTCCAGAGGACCTGGGAGGGACTAGGAAGGCCCACCAGAACACTGCCACACTTAGCAGGTACCAAGGAGTTCTGAAACCCCACCAGTGGAGAGATTTGGGATTCCTCTTCCTGTGACCCTCTTTTAAATTGACAAACACCCAGAAAGCATAAACTAATTCCTAATAAGCACAATTTAGAGCTGGAGAGGAACTTAGAGATTTTAGAGTCCAATGCCCTCTTTTACTTTATATAAGAGGAGAATGGGGCCCTGGGGAGAAGGAACTTGCTCAAGGTTATGCAGAAAAAGCCAGTGGCAAAATGGGGCTTGGAACCCAACATGCACTGCACAGTACCCGTGATGTCCCCTGTTGTGGAAGGAGACATATATCAGAGCCCTAAGTGGAAAAGGGGCAGATAAGGGCTGAAAAAAGGGAAAAGAATAGAACTCAGAGGATTTTTCATGTACTTCAATTGTTTTTATTGAACTGGCCCTGGTTTTCTGACCTGTCTTTCCTACAACTTCTCCATCTCACTCAACCCTCCTCCAAATACAAGTAAATTGGCTACATAAAGGCCAGGCCCACAGAAAGTGAACACAGGCAGAGGCTCAGCAGGAAGAAGTGACTGGCCTGAGACTCTGGGGACTTTTAATACATATTATCCTGGCTGGGCGCTGTGGCTCACGCCTGTAATCCTAGCACTCTGGGAGGCCGAGGCGGGAGGATTGCTCAAGGTCAGGAGTTCGAAACCAGCCTGAGCAAGAGTGAGACCCCCATCTCTACTATAAATACAAAGAAATTAATTGGCCAATTAATATATATAGAAAAAATTAGCTGGGCATGGTGGCACATGCCTGTAATCCCAGCTACTTAGGAGGCTGAGGCAGAAGGATTGCTTGAGCCCAGGAGTTTGAGGTTGCTGTTAGCTAGGCTGACACCATGGCACTCACTCTAGCCTGGGCAACAGAGTGAGACTCTGTCTCAAAAAAAAAAAAAAAAAAAATACATATTATCCTGAGAAATTAACTGTTCATCTAAAAGTTTACAGCTTCTTAAAATGCTACCAGCTCTGTCGAGGGGCTTCAACAAGGTTAGAGTTAGAAGCTGTTGTGTGCAGTGGGAGGAAGGGAGTAAGTTCATAATCCCACCCTGTCTGGGGTTAGGGAGTTGAGACATGACCATGGAAAGCTACATAGCTTGGTAGATAGATAACTCTTGTTTTAAAATAGATGGGTACATACCTTAAAAGAGCAAAAGTACACAATGTTTTAAATGTAACAGAACAGTTCCTTTACATCTTGTTTTGTGCCACAGTCCTGGATGCTGGTCCAAGGTTAACTTTTCATGTAATAGAAAGCCTCTACTAAGTTATATAGAATCCAAGGCCTCCCAAAGGGTGGCTATTAAGTTTTATCTGCACCATTGCCTGTTACTAACTCTTTGCTAAGGTGCTGAGCAAGCAAAGGGAAATATTGGTGAGACTCTGCATTCTAAAGTGGAGAAAAACATGAAAACTTAGTTCTAGTTTTTCTTGTATTGAACTAGCTGTGTGGCTTGGGCAAATCCTCCAGGTCAGTTCAGCGAAGATAACTGCACCTGCTAGGTGCCACCAAGGAGCCTGAAATCTAGTGAGAGACTACAGAGGGAAAAAAGAAGAAACTACTACAATTATGTGAGCTATAAAAATGCTAGGGAAGGTATAAATAAATAACCCAATATGTGGATGTCATGAGGCTGGTGAAGATTCATTCTAATGACGGGAAATCACTGAGCCTAGGTTTTCTCAATTTAAAATGAAAAGCCTGGATGAGGCTGTCTCCAAGGACCCTTTCAGCTCTAAACATCTGTGATCCAACAGAAAGTGAAGGCAGGTGATTCTCAAAGGAATCTTCCCTAAGGGCTTATTACCAGAGGCTTGAGGCTGCGCAAATGCACTTTGTATTCCTTCAAAGTCCTGTTCTATGGGACTTGAGGTCTATAAAAGAATGAAAGAAAAAGGAGGTTCACTGGAGGCAGACATATCACTAAAGTGTTGAGAAAATTTCTTGATGTTCTTAAACCTTGAAAATCTTCATAAAGTCCCTGCATCTTTTATAGAGAAAGAACAAACTTGCTTCACAGACATTAGGTACTTATTTGTACTATATACCCCCCTCAACAAATCCTCCCCCACCTCCCACTGTGAGGAGGAATTATGTGACTTTTCCCCTCTTTATAGCACCATTCCCTACTCACCCCAATCTTCCAACAGAGATATTTTGGTTCTTGGGAGCTTTATCAGAAGAGCCAAAGAAGGTTGAAAAAAGTGGCCCAGTCTGCCAAACTACTCTATGAAGTGAGAGGTGAGAACCATGGTTCTTTTTGAGAAGAAGAAGCCACTAGAAGGGAGCACAGGGGAGTCTTTTGGGGGACTGGTGATGTTTCATTTCTTGAGTTCATTTCTTGTATTCAGTTTGTGAAAGTTCATGAGCCATACACTTAAGATCTGTACACTTTTGTATGTCATACTTTATATACATGTTATTATATATGTATGTATGTATGTATATGTATTTTTTATTAAAGATTTCTTAATGTCGGTCTGCTCACAGTAAATATTAAAAGATTGTTAATAATGGAAAATTGTTCTAATTTGAGTTTTCAGCAGTACAGACAAGTGGACATTATACACAGTCAAATGCTGTGATTGACATGTATAATCTTCCTTTTCTCTACCTTTTCATATTCATAAAAGATCCCCAAATGGTGACAGGTTATGGAGAATATGGGGTAGAAAATACATAAATAAATAAGAGAATCCAACAAATGTCATTTTGTAAATGAAAATTCTCTACACAAGTAGGTTCTTTCAAAAGCTAGGCAGATTCCCAAGAAAACCTGGTGTATTGGATAGTCTCATGTTTGTTGCTGAACTCCGGTCTCAATCGTGGCTCTCCTACCACTAAAGCTTGGCAGGCTGGAGTTAATTCTCTTCATCTGCAGATCACCACTTCTTCAGAGAAAGGATAGCCTTCTTAGCTTCTCCACAGGAAGAATATACGAATTAGGTAGTATGAATAAAAATGTTTTGGAAAAAAAAGTACAAAGTGCTATACAAATGCAGGAATCACAATTTTGGGAGAAACGGCACATGACCTTTTATCCTCAAAAATCTTATTTTTCAGATGATTTTTCAAAACATGTAGAGAAACACTGCTAAACCGACATTGTACGGTTTTATATGTAAGCTATCTTTCTCAATAAAAATAACTTAAAAGAAATAAGGCAACAGAGAAAGCTAAAAATATACTTTACCCTGAACTGTGATTTTTACCTCTAGAGCTAAGTTTTCTTGAGCAGTTGTGGAGTAAAAATATTCATGGTCTGGAGTTAAAAATTCATCTGTTATGTCCTCAGAAGACTCAGGTGAACAAGTTGATTGCATGGACTGATCCTATTAATAATATAGGAAATCACTTTTAAGTTGCTGTTCATTGTAACCAAATCCCTTTATAGCTGGATGCAGAGTTAATAACAGGGCTATCTAAAATTACCCAGCAGTCTGTGAGCCACTCTGAGCTGGCTCTCCTTGCCTATTTGAGCACAGGCCTCTGCCTCCTTCCTGGTGGGAGAAGCAGCTGTGAACTGCCTGGAGAAGTGTGAAGGAATGATAGCTCTGAATCTCAGCATCCTCACTGGCAGAAGAGGGGGGGCATTAGGAGACCTTTCTGATCTAAAATTCTATTAATAAGTAACAAGAAAAGCCCTAGACAATTCTAGCTGGGGACTGAATTTTTTTTTCTTTCCTTTTTTTTCCAGTAGAATTTTGCATTGTATGGGGACTGAATTTAAACACCCCAATCCGTTAAGATCACAGACATAGCCTGTGTGTTGGCATCTTCCTACAGAGGCTGAGGCTGCTCAGAACTTGGGAGTCTCTTGGATACTACAGTTAAAAGTAAGCAAAGGAGCATGATTTGTAAAATAGCAATGTAATCTCAGTAACAAAATATTAAATTATTTTAAAGTAACAGATTTATTTCTTCAGCTTCTCTGCTCCAACCTTTTTTTTCGTGTTCATTTTGCTACATTCAGGCCCTGATTACCATGGCCAGACAACTGGCTCTTCTCTCCACCTTCAGTCATCTCTTTGCAGAGATTTGTGGTGTATAGCCTCGGACACTGCTTTGCCACACACTTCCCCTCTCTGTGCACTTACCAGCTGCTCCCCCTTAACTCTCATACGAAACTGAAATTTCTCAGACAAGCCTGGCCTCCCCATTACCTTCCCCGCTACCCTGATTAGACTCCTTCTCCAGCCCAGCCAGTGTGCTTAAGGTAGCACATCCTTCTAGCCCTCACATGAAAGAAAGAATAAACTGATCTTGTGAGTAGTTTGTATGCTATGATTAAATACTATACGTCAAAAGACCTTACATTTTATCCTTATCGTATTCTTACATTTCGTCATTCTCAACTGCTGTCTATATTCTTTAAAGGATCATGGCCCCATGTCAATGACAATAAACAAATTTTGGTTCTTTAATCCAGCTGGACTATTGCCCAGAATGTATTAAACCCCTGAAGCAAGGCTGTAACCGCAATGCAAATGAGAGGAAATGAATGGATCCTGCTGAGGCACAGTTGCCAGGCACAACCGCATTCCTTCCACTGAGCTGAGAGCTGAATCTGGGTCTTAGAGGACATGCTAAGTGAAGGCACTCTCATCACAACCCTAGCCTTGCTTTTCCTACCCCAATGTGATCTCAGTCACCTGCTGAGCTTAGTCTTGCCTACCCAACTAGATGGGAAGCTCAAGGACCAGAGCTAATCTGACACTTGTGTGTGTTGTCCCCACACTCCAAGATGCACAAGACGTTGAGTTGAACTGACTCAAAAAAGTACCAGGCAAGGAGGAAAGACTACTTTATTTGTGTCAATGACATGAGGACACATGCTCCAACCAGAAAGAACTACTACAGATGTTATTTTGGTATCATAATACATACTGACAACTCAGTTCTACTTCATTAGATCCGTAGGTTCAACTTGGCTCTCAGGCCATATTACTTACACTGTAAGATTTCTCAATGAGCACACATGCATCAGAACTTGCTTGAAAGGCTTCATTATGCTCTGGTTGCTCATTTTCTCTCGGGGACAGGTGCCTGATACCTAATGATTGTAACACATCAGGGCCAAAGTCATTGAGTGATACTCAGATAGCATGGAAGGGGCAAAAATGTGGTGTGACAGAAGACATGCATACATATTCTGCCAGGTGTGGCCAAGTCCCCTATGTTAGGTTCAGTCCAGACAGTGGAAACTGTTTAGCCTGACCTCCAAATGCAGACTTGGATCCTCTATCTTTTTGCCCACCCGTTTAAGAGTGATGCTTGACAAGGAACAGATTCTAAATACCAAAAAAAAAAAAAAAAAAACAGCAAGCCAACAGATTTTCTGCCTAAAAGGCAATATTAGATGTACTTTTCTCTGATTTATAAGCAGCTCGAAATAATAGCCCATACCCTGATTAAGCAAATTACCACCAGGTAGCCTTCAGTTTTGGGAGGTTTTTTTTTTAATTGTTGAGAGAGTCTCACTCTGTTGCCCGGGCTAGAGTGCCGTGGTGTCAGCCTAGCTCACAGCAACTTCAAACTTCTGGGCTCAAGCAATCCTTCTGCCTCAGCCTCTCGAGTAGTCGGGACTACAGGCATGCACCACCGTGCCCGGCTAATTTTTTCTATATATTTTTAGTTGTCCAGCTAATTTCTATTTTTAGTAGAGAAGGTGTCTCTTTCTTGCTCAGGCTGGTCTCGAACTCCTTAGCTCAAACGATACTCCCACTTCGGCCTCCCAGAAAGCTAGGATTACAGGCACGAGCCACCGTGCTCAGCCTAGCCTTCAGTTTTAACCTGTAAATCTATAAACTGATGACAGTAAATGTTGTCTCTAGGTTCCCCTGGCACAGACTCTCTGGAAGCCAGTAGATTTATTTCTAGCTTAGAATACAATGCAAAGACGTGGGCATTGATGGCCCACCTCCACTCCCAGGAAAGGAAGGCTCAATTCCTTGCCATGTTAGACCTAGGGCCAGAGTCAGTACATGTAGATTATTTTATTTCCTTTGGACAAAGGAGCCTGTTTGAGTAATACAAAAACTCATCAATCTCTGGATTTGCCACAGGGAGAAATACAGGGTTATCCTGCTTTCCCCTAGAATTCAAGGCTCCCAGAAAGGTAAGAAAGGAGAAGGGACCAAGCAAAGGCAATATGCCAGGAAGTTACTTTGTTTTGAGAGCTGGTAACTTGAGAGAGCTCACCTATCCTGATTCTCCCAACTGAACTTACTTGTGAAGCTTCGAGGCCCAGGCTGTCTTCCACACAGGTCACGGGCACCGTCACTGTTGTCTGTTTTGTCAAACTTGTCATTTCCTCCTGGGTCATCTTCCCTGCGATACTCTACAACTTGCTGCCAATCCATGTTCTCAGAGCCTCTAATGGGGGGCTGCAGCAGGGGATTAGGCTCATTTTCAGCCTCACTCTCTAAAGCCAAACTACTCTGAGGATGCCAAGGAGGAACTGTGAGCTGCCCAGTAGCTGCTTTCTCTGCCATTTCTCTCACTTCCACTGGGCACAAGAGAAATCAGTATTTAAAACATCACTGTGAACATTAGCAACAAACACTTTCACCTTAAAGAGATATGTAATAACTTCCACTCCAAATGACTTCACTATAAAAAAAAATAATAAAAAATAAAAAAGAGATATGTAATACCACTATAGTTCATATTGTAACAATAATTGCCTTTCTACAGTTGCATCATCCTTAGCTAGTCCTGTTTGGTCAGAAGGGGAGGGTGGGGGAGAACTGATGACAGAGTGAGAGAAGGGAATTTCAGCTGGTTAAATCAAATAACAGCTCTTGTTGCTAAATTCTGGAGTGGAAGAGAGCAGAAAACAGACCCTTTTGCTGTGAAGATTTAACAAGAAAAATGACATCTGAAGTTCCCAGTCTACAATAGTGAATAAAGGATTGTATTTGAGTTAGTCTAGCCTTCCTAGACTATACTGAGCTCACATTTTGTGGGTGTGTATATATATGCATGTTTGCATTTCAAATGTTCTATATTTCTGATAACATCACTAAGCACCAGTTTTAAAAAAAACAGACGTTGTATCCTTTTAAGCTTACAAGATAAAACTGATACAAAGGATAATGCCCACAGGAAATGAGAGTGACACTGCATGCTCTCCACTTTAATAATGTTGTATATCAAATATCTAAACTAATCTAATCTAGGTCCCTGAATAACATTATTTCATTCAACATCATTTCATTATAATATATATATAGTTTTGAGACAGAGTCTCACTTTGTTGCTCGGGCTAGTGCCATGGCGTCAGCCTAGCTCACAGCAACCTCCAACTCCTGGGCTCAAGCAATCCTGCTGCCTCAGCCTCCCAAGTAGCTGGGACTACAGGCATGCGCCACCATGCCCGGCTAATTTTTTCTATGTATTTTTAGTTGGGCAGTTTCTTTCTTTCTTTCTTTTTTTTTTTTTTTTGCTCAGGCTAGTTTCAAATTCCTGACCTTGAGTGATCCGCCCACCTTGGCCTCCCAGAGTGCTAGGATTACAGGCATGAGCCACGGCACCCGGTCTCATTATAATATTGATGAAAAAAAGATCCATTCCCAGTTGTGGCAACTGTCCGTGTGGTGCTTGTGGTGCTTACACGTTCTCCCCACGTCCACATGGGTGTTTTCCAGGTACTCTAGTTTCCTCCTACATTCCAAAGATGTGCATGTTAGAACTGGTGTGTCTAAATTGTCCCAGTATGACCCAGTGTGCGTATGTGTGTGAGTGTGCCCTACAATGGAATGGTATCCCATTCAGGGTTGTTTCCTGTCTTGTGCTCTGAGTTGCTGGCATAGGCTCTGGTCACCCATCACCCTGAACTGGAACAAATGGGTAAATAATTATCTTACCTGTTTTTATTAATCTTTTGTATGTTGTATAGTTCACATTTGTTTATTTCAATGTTTAATGTTAGAAGTGTTTTGGTTTTTATTTAGAAGTTTGATGATGTTTTGTGACCAGATATATACTGTAGAAACCAACATTTCTTCCTTCCTTTCCCTTCTCTTTTCCTCCCCCACCCCTATCCCTTCCTTCTTGCTCTGTTGAGCAGGCTAGAATGCAGTAGCATTTTATTTATTTATGTTTTTCAGAGACAGGGTCTCGCTCTGTTGCCCAGGCAGTGGCATGATCATAGCTCACTGCAGCCTTGAACTCCTGGGCTCAAATGATCTTCCTGCCTCAGCTTCCCAAGTATCTAGGACTATACCCACACAGCACCATGGCCAGCTAATTTTTAAAAAATTTTGTAGAGATGGGGTCTCACTATGTTGTCCAGGCTGATCTTGAACTCCTGGCCTCAAGCAATCTTCCTGCCTCAGCCTCCCAAAGTGCTGGGATTACAGGTGTGAGCCACTACACCTGTGCCCAGCCACAAATATATTTTAAATTTCATTTTGTCTAAAAAAACCCATGACTTTATACTCACTTTTCCATTTTAAGTGTACTTCTCCATCATCTTTATTATTTCTTGACTTTGCATTATAGATTTCAGAAGACACAGATTCCATGCTGATCCTAAATTGCGTAATTTTCAGGAGGAGAACAGAGTAGACACAAACACATCAGTTTGATCAAGTTCCTAACAGAACTCAAAGCCCACCAGCCCACCCAGAGGAAAGCCGCCCTAGTCCCTCAACCACTCCTGGAGTTGCGCTGGCTCCTTCATACCACCAGAGGGTGCCAGACTCCCCAGTTTTCAAATAGCAAGGATCCTTACGTGGTAGCATCCTGGTGAGGGCTGTGTGACCCAGGCAGTCCCTGCTGGTGGCTTGAAACAGTGAAGAGTGCACTATTTCGCTGTGTGACTTTGGCTTGAGTGCTGAACTCTCTAGGTCTTCCTTGGCTAAGAAATGAAACGACTAGGCTAGATTTCTAGGGATTTTTTTTCAGTTTCCAGTCCAAATTTTATGTATCTAAAAATGCTTTGGGAATTTTCAAAGGTAAAAGAACATACAATAGAAATGCAGTTTGCCAGACAGAATCTTGATCCTTGGGCTGCTGCAGAGCCTCCCTCTCACAAATTACAGGTGATGTGTTCAGCTGGAGGTTTTTGCTCCTGCCCTTTCATCAGAATTCTCTGGTAACTTGCCCACCTGCCTATCAGTAACACACAGTAACTAACATTTGTAAAGATGGTATGAGGTGCCAGGGATCCTGAAGAATTTTAGAGACCTTCTCTAGTTCTCAATGGTTTAGACCCTGACTACTCCCTAGGTTAGTTCTTATTTTGGAAATGTCACTCTCTCTGGCCAAGGTTTTCTCATCTGCAAAATAAAGAGATTTTTTCCTTAAATATCCCATGATTTGCTGGGTGCAGTGGAACAGCCTATAGTCCCAGCCTACTCAGGAGTAGGCTGGGAGGCAGGAGGATTGCTTGAGCCCAGAAGGTGGAGGCCTCCTGGAGACACAGCAAGCCCTGTTCAAAAAAGGGTGGGGGCAGGCCAGGCATGGTGGCTCATGCCTCTAATCTAGCACTCTGGGAAGCCGAGACGTGAATTGCTAGGTCAGGAGTTCAAGACCCCTGAGCAAGAGCAAGACCCCTATCTCTACTAAAAATAGAAGAATTAGCCAGAAAACTAAAAATCTATATAGAAAAAATTAGCTGGGCATGGTGGCACATTCCTGTAGTCCCAGCTACTTGGGAGGCTGAGGCAGGAGGATTGCTTGAGCCCAGGAGTTGAGGTTGCTCGTGAGCTGGGCTGAAGCCAAGCATTTAGCCAAGGTAACAGAGCAAGACTCTGTCTCAGAAAGAAAGGGGGGGGAGTTTATAAATATCTCATATGTTATATCTATTAAACCTACTTCAAAAATATGTGATCTATGGCATAGACATGAATTCCCTGTTATCCAAAATGCCCTACTCCCCAGCTGGACCAAAAAGCGAGAAAACTGTTGAATCTGAGAGGTCAGATCTGATCAGCTTCTTTTTTTTTAATAATTATTTTTCATAAAAATTTATTTATAAAATTTTTTTTTCCATCTATGATTGTAAATTAATGGCAGAAAACGATCAGCTTCTTTAAAGAGTTTTTTGGCAACAGCTATCAAGAATTTTTTTTTTTTTTTTTTTTTTTGAGACAGGGTCTCACTTTGTTGCCCAGGCTAGAATGATGCCATGGCGTCAGCTAGGCTCACAGCAACCACCTGGCTCAGAGATCCTGGCTGCCTCAGCCTCCCGAGTAGCTGGGACTACAGGCCATGCGCCCACCATGCCCGGCTAATTTTTTCATATATATATTGTTGGCCAATAATTCTTTGGTTTATAGTAGACAAGTGGGTCTTGCTCTTGCTCCGGCTGGTTCAATTCCTGCTTGAGCAATCCGCCCCCCTTGGCCTCCCACAGTGCTAGGATTACAGGTGTGAGCCACCGTGTGCCTAGCCTATCAAGAATTGTTAAAATGAGCCGGGCGCGGTGGCTCACGCCTGTAATCCTAGCACTGCTGGGGCTGAGCAAGGGATTGCTCGAGTCAGGAGTTCAAAACCAGCCTGAGCAAGAGCAAGACCGTCTCTACTATAAATAGAAAGAACTTAATTGGCCAATAAGTATATATATAAAAAAATTAGCCGGGCATGCTGGCGCATGCCTGTAGTCCCAGCTACTCGGAGGCTGAGGCAGAAGGATTGCTTGAGCCCAGGAGTTTGAGGTTGCTTGACTAGGCTGACGCCACGGCACTCACTCTAGCCTGGTACACAGCGAGACTCCTGTCTCAAAAAAAAAAAAAAAAAAGAATTGTTAAAATGTTCCAAAGCTTTGGCGTTGTAATTCTGCTTCTGGGAATCTATCTTGACATAATCCAAAATGCAAAAAAAAAGGCCTCATTTATAACTAACTGTGCCTCTTTATAACAGAATAAAAATGAAACAACCTAAAATTGAACAATGAGTGAAATCCAACAATTTCAAAATAAGTTTACAGGGCTTTTTTTGGTAAATAACATGAGATAATACATTCTAACAAGTGAAAAATTGGGATATAAATTGCCTACAGGTTATAGTAATTGCCACTTTATTTTTTTTTTATTTCAGTATATGATGGGGTTACAAATGTTTAGGTTATGTGTGTTGCCTCCCCCGCCCTGTCACTTTATTTTTTTAAAGCATGCAAAAAGACTAGCTAGATAGCCAGGAAAATAAACTTCTCTTTTTCATTTTGTTTTTTTGGAGGAATAGGGTAAAGCTGAGCAGTGGAGGCCAGAACTATGGGTTTTCTTTGTCATCTAATGGTGGTAATGTCACCCCATCTGCTTCTATCAGTGGTGTGAGTGCTAAACCCTCTGAGATCCTTCATACTTCCCTTCATAAGGGTAAAAAATAAACTGATCTCCTTTCAGCCAGAGCTGCCATCTTCCAGTAATTCGCCAAAATGACAAACACAAAGGGAAAGAGGAGAGGCACCCGATACATGTTCTCTAGGCCTTTTAGAAAACATGGAGTTGTTCCTTTGGCCACATACATGCGAATCTACAAGAAAGGTGATATTGTAGACATCAAGGGAATGGGTGCTGTTCAAAAAGGCATGCCCCACAAATGTTACCACAGCAAAACTGGAAGAGTCTACGTTACCCAGCATGCTGTTGGAATTGTTGTAAATAAACAAGTTAAGGGCAGGATTCTTGCCAAGAGGATTAATGTGTGTATTGAGCACATTAAGCACTCTAAGAGCCAAGATAGCTTCCTGAAACGTGTGGAGGAAAATGATCAGAAAAAAGAAGGAAGCCAAAGAGAAAGATACTTGGGTTCAATTGAAGCAACAGCCTGCTCCACCCAGAGTAGCACACTTTGTGAGAAACAATGGAAAGGAGCCCGAGCTGCTGGAACCTATTCCCTATGAATTCATGGCATAATAGGTGTCTCACACTTTGTGAGAAGCGACAGAAAGGAGCCTGAGGTGCTGGGACCTGTTCCCTATGAATTCATGGTGTAATAGGTATGGCATACCTGTGAGAAGCAAAGAAAGGACCTTGAGCTGCCAGAATCTATTCCCTATGAATTCATGGTATAGGAGACAAACCTAATAAAAGCCGCTGGACTCTAAAAACAAAATAAAAAATAAACTGATCTAATGTGTCTGTGGGCACTTTCCTTAATTCCTCCTTATGTACTTTTTTTTTCTCCTAAGAGACAGGGTCTTCCTCTGTTGCCCAGGCTAGAGTGCATTGGTACAATCATAGCTCACTGTAAGCTTGAACTCCTGGGCTCAAGCAAACCTCTTGCCTCAGCTTCCTGAGTAGCTGGGACTACAAGAACATGCCACCACACCTGGCTAATTTTTTAAACTTTTTGTAGATGGGGTCTTGCTATGTTGCTCGGGCTGGTCTTAAACTCCTGCTCTCATGTATTCCTTCCACCTATACCTCCAAGTGCTGGGATTACAGGGATGAGCCACTGCACCAGGCCCCCCCTTATGTACATACTTATCAACATGAAAGGAACAGCAAAACTCGAGTCATTAGTCTCAGTCACCACTAAGGAGAGGAAAACAAGAAGTTATTTTTTTCTAGAAAAACTGACTTCAAAACTGTGGATTAGGCTCACGCCTGTAATCCTAGCACTCTGGGAGGCCGAGGCGGGAGGATCGCTCAAGGTCAGGAGTTTGAAACCAGCCTGACTCTGCGTTTCAAAGCCACGCAGCAGGAGACTGCTGTGGTCACACAGCCCTCCACCAGGATTACCACGTAGGATCTTTGCTACTTGAACAACTGGGGAGTCTGGCACCTCTGGTGGTATGAAGGAGCCAGCCGCACTCCAGAGGAGTGCTTGGAGGACCGTAGGGCGGCTTCCTGCTGGGCTGGGCGGCTCGGTGGGCCTTTTTGAAAGTCTCTGGCTTAGCGACTTGAATCAACTGATGTGTTGTGTTACTTCTGTTCCTCCCTCCTCTGCAAATTACGCAATTTAGGGATCAGCATGGAATCCCTGTGTTTCCTGAAATATAATCAAAGTCAGCG